GACGGTGACGAACACGCCGGCGCCCCAGAACAGGCGGCCGACGAGCACCCCCCAGGACCCGGCATGGGGGACAAACGGCCAGAGGGACACCAGCGGGTGGTCGGAGAGCAGCATGTCCGCCAGCACGGCGACCATGATCATAGTAGCGTTGCTGCAGTTACCTCGGTATATGACGGCGATTTGACCGCGAGTGGAGTCAATCCACACCTGCAAATTCAAAGTGGAAAATACAAAACCGAGAAAAGATGGTTTCTTTTTTCAATTTTCAAGTAAATGCCTACACAGGATCAAATTTACTATTAAAACAAGCTGATATTAACTTTTTAGTGAGAGAAAAAATCCTTTTCGAATGACAACATTGACTTGTTTCAAAAGTGAATTTAATCTTGTGTCAGCATGGACTTGAAACAAGCGAAACAAGAAACCATTTTTCTAGGTGCACTGCCTTGCTTGCCACACCTCTTGTCGCACTGAACCACTGAACCTTCTCTCCCGGAGTGTCCTCCATGATCTGGACGAGTCTCTTCATCTCGCTCAGGATGTTCCAGAAGCGTGACTGGCGGGTCACGGCGTAGCACGCGTACGCCGAGTAGAGGTCGCTCAAGGAGCTCACTGGTGGCATGGCTGCCCTGGCCGACGACTGCAGCAGCGCGTAGACTCCCTCGAGTATGCAGCAGAACCCCATGAACCTATCCGGCAACTACGGGGAAAACATAGCTATAAAGCAGACATATCTAATTCAATAAAATATGCCAAAAACTGCGCTTAGGCGTCCTGAAACAACATTGTGCTACCATGGCCGTCGGAAGTGGGGTGCAGGAGGGGGGGGGGGGGGATTTTCATGAAATATTAGGGGAAAATGAATGTTTAAACGAGTCGGGCCCTGTCCGGCCCGGGCGCAGAGCGTAGTGATTGAAATTTAACTAGTATAATTAATAACCGAGTGCTTATGCGCACGATCGTTCGTATGCGCGCAATTTTTACTGCTTAACGTTCACGAGTCGTGCGCGCAAATCCTGGCTAGATAAAATATTTATTACGGATCGACATTCATTCCTAGAGTTCCCTGGGCATGTCACTCAAAAAATCGAAGGCGCCTGGACGCCTCTGACAGATATTCCCGTAAAATTGTCCGGGGTAGTTGGAAAAATCCGAATGAAATGAACTCATAGGCATAAGTAACGTACCGAAGTTCACATTTCGACCCTTTAAACTGCTCTAGTCACTCACTGTTAAAGTATTCTGAGGTTTTCAGCATTGCACCGAATACATAATATTAGTGCTTTTAAGTGTCTCGGTGGTATAAAACCCTTTTAGAACCATATTACACATAGTTGTGCGACGGGCCGCGGAACGTAAATGGCCCGTTTGCTGAGGATCACCCGAAACTCTCACCCCGCTTTGGAGCACGGCGCGCAGGACTCGCAGCAGAGGCCTCTGCTCCAGGCACAACCACGACAGGTGAACGCTGAGTCGCATCGT